TGTGGGAAAATTCTACTACCAGTCCTTCATCACCTTACACGAAATAGGGTGAATACATCTCATTATTCTTCAGTTATGCCCACTTTTAGAGAGAAAGTCGACCCATTATCCAGATCGGGTTGCTACAAAATATTGTGTTCATGTGGTCGCTTTTATTTTGGAGAGACTTGACGTCCCATTCAACAAAGGGTGGCTGAGTACAAAAGCGCCCGCAAAAGCTGTTGGGTTCAAAAATCGGAGCTTACTGAGCACAGGGCAGAAACGGGACACGAGATTGAATGGTATCAAACATGTCGTTTTGCTGATTATGGTATGTTTGCGGCTAAACGTAAAATTAGAAAAGCAATAGAAATAAATCGAATAGGAAATGCATTTAATGTAAGGAATACTGGTAAGAAGATAAGTAAAAATTACTTGTGCTTAATTAATAGACTAAAGGATATAGGGAATTGAACCAGCTGCAAAAAGGAGACAACGCAAGTATTATTTACTTCTCTTGGTTCTAATCATAGTCACTTCTCTGTAAATTAGCTCATTCTTTCTCTCTTGCATTGAGACCAAAAACAAAAAAAGGCTCATCAACAAAACCAGGCGAGTGCCCGATCTTGCGCAATCGGAGCGATGGTTATAACATGCATGTAGAAAGGGGGAGATAGGGGTCATCAAATCTTGATGGCCAAAAACAGACGTTCCTTTTTGCTGTCCTAATTACTCTGAGCCATCACAGCGGGTTTCGTGCATACGCGAACATTTACAAGCACATATATATACAGACACACTCACAGGCTTCGAAGTTGACATATGACTGTAACTAACCAAATCACTTTATACCTGATCAAAGGCAAATATATAGCTTATATAGCGCTTTTTAGGGATTTGCCGGTGAGTTTTCTTGACTCGTTAGCCTGAGTTAGCCTGACGATTATACATTCCTCTGATGATGTTCGTCATATGACGGACAAATGCATAGCACTTTTTCACCGAAATCGAAGGACATTACCTCTGAAACAGCGTCAGCATGAATCCTCCAGTAGAGCCAATCGACAGCTGGTCAAGAGGAATCTGCCGTCGTCTTTTGGTGGAACCGACATTCGAATCTCTTCACCCAATACTTTCACTCGAAATGGAACCTCCACAGAAATGAATACGCCTTATGCTGAATTTCACTTAGATTTGCCTCACGGATATTCTCTTTTAGTGTTCCAAAAAGGACGTCGACTGCCTCTAAGATATAAAACGCTTGTCTATACAACTTCAAAGTTGGAGGCCCCAAAACGAAAAGAGAAGAGGAAAAACAGTACTGACAAATATCCTATTTAGAAACGGCTGAATAATAGTAAAACAATCCTTGAAAGGCGGCGCGAAATATAAAAGTATGAAGCGGAGGGGAAAATAAAAACGAAGAAAGCGTGACTAACCTAAACAGCATGTTAGCTATCTAATATACCCTTCTGATTGGACAATGCGGTGCCAAGCTTTGATTAGTCGACCAAGGAAGTTGAGCCATGGCTATGTATGAAATGTAACTAAACTAAACATTGAATGGGAAAATTGTAGGGATAGTTCACTACACTCTCTCACTTTAGCCGAAATAAGAGTAACCATAAAAATTGATCAGAGTGACTAACCCTAGATCGGAGCTGACTGCAGGCTCGTTTATTAAAATAGCAACTGGAGAATAAATTGTCTTTTAATTGAGCGAATTACCAAATACAGTATTCCTAAACGAATAAATTCAAATAGTCAATGTTATTGTAAGCTGTACGATAGGATTAAAATATACTGTGGGGAAAGGTAATGCGATTGTAGATAGAATCAAGGGTTGTACTGATCCTATTACGCATAGAGCGGACAACTAGTAATTGAATTTTTTAACAATGATATAAGTTGGCCTTAAGTTTCAATTGAAATTCATATGGCCTTGCTTCCCAAAAGGTAATCTTATACAGGTAAGAATGGACTGCCGTTTCGCCTTCGCCTAGGTCTCATCAGCACCTCCAGCGGTACTTGAACCCTAGTAGCACAGCGGACTATGTCGACATGTAAACCACTCCTGCCTGGAGGACAATAGCTTTTAGGAGGCAAAGCTGTGTCAAATTCAATAGAAACACAAAACTTATTCCATATGATTGTGAAAAAATTCGGCTATCATTGCCTCATCTCCTTAAGCGAAATAAAGTTAATACAGCTCTTATATCAAATATACTGGTAGTCGCGAAAAATTACTTACGAAACAACAAAATAGGAGTTAATAATGTTTGTCAATATAATGAGTAAATAATATTAAATATTAATGGCTTTTGTTATTATGCTATATTTTAGTAAACAGTGAAAAGCGAAATATTAGATAGTAACCTAACTTAGTAAACGTTAGCACTGTGAACGTAAGCATTTCCTAAACATACCACTTGAGGGAGCAAGATCTAGAGGAGAATTGTTAAACTCTGAAGATAGTGTCTTGTGAGTGGCTACAAAGCAAGATGCACGCAGCTGAATGATAGCGAAGCCTGACCAGGCTTGAGCGAGCCTGGCTTCAGCCTCCACAGGAGAAAGCCTGGACCCATCGAGCCAAACTATCGATGAGCAAGTAGCGACATTCTTTTTATTTCGAAACTGCTGCCTGAAGGTAAAAAGGCAGCTAAAATAAAGAAAGAAGAGCGCTTGAAGAGAGATTGTCACATTGGCCTAATGCTTGCTATGGGAAAAATAAGCATACATGCCGGCCAAGTGTAGGCACTTCAAACCGATTACCAATACTTCGGTATTCGTGAACTTTCTTTTCTCAGCAAGAGTGTGGGAATGGGATTCATTGATATGGCAACCAAGCCAGTCATCAATCAAAAATTCTTCCACTAAATCAAAATGGCAGAAGCTCATGCACAGCTTGTAATGCTCTAGGCAAAGAGTGAAAATTCTGGGTAATGTAAATTGTTCCAACTCAAGAAGAAGAGTGCCCTTTTCACTATAATTCTCTTTCGATAAAACAGGTGTTTGTAGACTTTCTTCACTGATGACATCCAAATTATCAAAATACAAAACAGCTTTGTCCGAAAATTCAAGAGTAGCATTATGAGTCATATATTGGCGAAAAAGTATTCTTTGCACACAAAGGATAGAAGAAAACTTGGAATCCGAAGTTAAATAAATCTACAACAGAAAAATGATGCGATAAAAACGGAGTAGTCTGTAACGTAATTTAAGTCTATAAAACAATTTATAGTCTTACGTTGCTTGCCATAAAGATGGCCTGTGTGAAACTGTGCTCAAATGAAATTAATCTGAGAAGTGGAAGTAATGACTCGCCAAGATAAGCTTTGTCCGGGACTGTTAAAGAAGGTTCAAGTAGACTGTCGATGCATTCAGGTCCATCTTGAATATCAGAGATACGAGAGCGAAATAACTCATAAATCCGATCAGCGCAAGAAAAATAAAAGGTTTTTTCACAAATTAGACCGTTCAAGACGTTGTGTTCAATACCCGAGTTAAGAAGGCTGTTAAACATTAGCACCAGTAGACCAGAAAAAAGACTCAATACATCACTTTCGATAATTCCGGTGAGGAAAGATTCATTTTGGGTATCTGTGGTAAAAAAATCATAATTAGCTAAATCGTGCAGGAACCTTGACTTATTATTTTTAATGATAGATTAAAAATAATATGAAATTTAAGCGAAATTGCGGGTATCCAGATTAAAAATATGTAAATTTTTAGCCAAAGTAATTACCCTAAATACAAGCTATTATCTTATACTGCATTAATTATGGGAAGAGCCAGTTTGAGAATATCAGTTTTAATATATCAAGGCCGGTTTATAGATAAGATTAGCATTGAAGTTCATGTGATTATAACCCAAATGTCCCATAAAAATTTAAATTAAAGGAATAAGACAATCGTTCCCAACAGAAGCCAAGGTAGATTTCATTAGAGTCGTGATCGATTATTTAAAAACGACAATGAGTTAACCTCATGTACAGAGGCTTCTTTTCTTTGGTTTTAAATAAAACCAT